CACACACCCACACACACACACACACACACACACAGCCTTACCTGTCTGTCCTCCAGCTTCCTGTGAGTTCTTCAGCCTGTGAGATGTGAGCAGAAGAAGGGAAGTGAAAAGGAGGATGACAGGGAGCTGAAAGAGAAAGATAACAAAAAGGAGGATGGAGAAAAAGTGTCAAATAATGAGGAAGAGCAAAAAAGAGCGCGAGAGAATGACTGATTAGTGTGCGTGAAAGACAGATAGAGAATATTATCCCAGTGGGCAGCCCTTGCTGAAGATAAAGTGGCAGAGAGGAGAGAGAGACAGAGAGGTGGGATTGTGTGTGGTGTACGGACACTGGCAGCACTAGCTATCTCTCTCTCGCTCGTTCGCTCTCTCCCTCTCTCTTTCACTCTGCCAACACTCAACTCCCCCTCCACCCCTTCCTCAATCTCATTGTCAAATAATGGATCGGCATTCAAAGCATATCAGACTGGGTTCTAAAGAGTTTAACACTATGATAATCTCATACATATTATCAGATCACAAACGTTTTTTTTGTTAGAATTTGTACAGAAGATGTTGCTAATCTCTTTAATATCAAAATCACATCCTTAGCGGTGCTTTCTAAGTCAAGCTTTACTAATGCTCATAGTTTGGGGTTAATGTTAAGTATTAACCTTACTCATCCTGCAATGTTTACACCACAAAAATGTATGATATGGATAATGGATGATCCATCCATCCACCATCATTGTGTATTTTCAGACACCTAGTGTAATCTAGGTGTAAATATTTGCTGTGACAGTCATTCACTTTGATTATTATCACAAATTATGTGATGAATCCTGCAGTTCATTTGGTTCAATTTTATTTAGTAATTTTGGTATGATTCATATTTGTTAAAAAAAAAATGCTGCAAACACAAATGTAACTGGAGGGACAAATTACACCACAATGGAATATTATTACAAACAATACACCAGATTGTGCATATACAGACCCCCAAAAAACTTAAATGATTTAATTTATTATTATTATTATTATTCATAAATTGGATAATAAATAAATATGTAATGCATCAGATGTTCTTATTACTCATTTGTAAATTCTGTAATGGATGCATTTAAGTTTCTGTGTCATGTCAATATTGATTTTTTACCCCTACAGTGGACTTGAAAAACACTCTTGAAGAGATCTTGATTCATATCTATATTCTGTACCACAAGCATCCTTATCACTCTGCCATGTGAAGTGTAAAACCCATCTGCTGGGAGCTTATCATGCACATGCCAGAACACAGTTGCTTATTTCATTCAAATCTCAAAAGGCAAACTCGACAAGGACTGACAAGAAATTATAAAAGTGACTGCTGGCATGCACTTATGAATATGCGCTTACACATCAGTTCCAAGACAATGTTATTGCTTAACTTTGGTCTTTAAGTTCCACTTGATGAATGATTGTCTCTCTCAACACTCGTCTAAAGCAGGGATGACCTTAAGATGAACAGCGTTATGAATCTGTTTATCTCACATCACAGCGTCATGTTTGATCAGGCCTGCTGGTGATTATACCGTCTTGATGTAACTCAGAATGTTATCAGGGAATCGTGCATTTATTTCTCTTAACCAGAACTTCAGACGGACCTTTGCGCATCCATGTGTATCCATGACAACGACAACCTGGAGGTGATGAATTCAGACTAAAGGGCAGAACCCAGAGGCCAAAAAAATTATAATGTAAGAATGTGAGATTTGAAATCCAGTAACAGCTTTTTGCGTACAAGATTACATCTTAGAAACCATCACAGAAAGATTAGTCACGGCTGCTCTTTATCCAGGCACATTAATAAACACTGATGCTCTCTCTCTCTCTCTCTCTCTCTCTCTCTCTCTCAAGTAGCCTATCAACTGCTGTTTCTGTCACCTTGACTGACTGTCAATGTTTTTGTGGACTGCATACATAAAAAACAAATACATGAAAACAAATATTTTGATTATAATACTATACTAAAAATTGATCAATATTTTAAATACTTTTGCTTATTGTTATCGTCGAGCATATAGTCTACATAGAAAATACACTCTCTCTCCCTCTCTCTCACACACACAAACTGATATTAATATTATACTATAACTAAATCCATTATTTTATATACTTTTGATTATTGTTACTGTATACATATATACATATATTGCAGTCTTATTGACTTTGTCATTAAGTTTCAGCTTACCTTCATTTCACACAGGTGTCCTAACAGAGAAACCACAGATGTATTTTCTCACATTTACTGTGTGCAAGTTATTTTGTCTTAATTTTTTGCAACAGCGTCCTCGTGTGGTGGATATGCAATATAACCGGCAACATATATTCAAAAGCTAACTTTTTACGATGCATGTTTACGCTATATGTGTGTATTTGACTAAATTAAACTGTTTTCCGATTCAAGTGAGACGGAAGAAGTTTACAGACCCTTAGGCTGAGGATTCTTACTTTAAATGATTGGTTTATATGGCATCAATGCCATATAAGTCTCTGTTTGATAGAAGTGAGTTAAACGGTGTTGACGTCAGAGGAAGTGTGTAGCTAATTTTTATTGTGGACTCTAGCCTGTCCACTCTGTTCCGCCGCTTTCACTACTGTGCTTACCACGAGATCAGCGTATTTCATAATACAAAGAAAATTATTTTAAAATAATTGTTATTTTTAAATATATATTAATGTAAATGTTTAATTAATATACATTAAATGCATGTGAATTTCTTAGATGCTTTGCTTCACATTTTTCTTGTGTAGTCAATTTACAAAAGTTTAAAGAACTATGACTGTTATATAAAATAGAACACTTGATTACTTAGCACTTAATGTTTCTGATATTTCTTATTTGACGAATGATGTATAATTTCAATAATGTATAATTTAACCACTATTTAAAACAGAATATGATATGACATGGTATGATATATAGTGCCCAAATAATGTTTGAAAGTTCTGCATAGCTGTGGAGCTGATCAATGTAACCAATCAGAAGTCCAGCCGAGCAGCACGTGACTTTACCCGGACGAGCAAGCAGAGTGGACAGTCTGTTTTTCAGGAAAACATCTTTGTCTCAGAGAAAAGGGGAAAAAAGTGGAAAAGCAACAGATCCGAGGGCGTCTTATGTTGTCGAATAAAATCTGAATCGTCTCTCAGGATAAGCTGTGCTGAAGGGGATGCTGGGGGTGTCAGAGATGACGGGCAGGTACGGTGTTTTATTTTTAATTGTTGTTACGGAGAAATCTCCAGTCAAAGATGCATCAGATATCTGCAGTTGTATTAAATCATTTATTACCCTTATTCACATTTATTTTTTCACCCAACTGATTTACTGTTTACTGCCTAACTGCTAGTGTTAAGTATTTGTTTATTATTGAGAGAATAACAATAATATCGTGGATTGCTAGATGAGGGCTGATGCTAAGCTAATTAACCTCCCTAGTGGAGTTTTCCTGGGAGACACACACACACACACAACTGGAAAGACATTCAACACACCACAAGTGTTTAGATAAGCCCTGTCATACTGTAGTTAACTACCTGTATAATAAGTCTTAGATAAATGTAACTAAATACGATATTTTTTTCCTGGAAAACTGTGCTCCTCTTCCATTCCAAACTAATTCTCTGATGTTTTGTGTAGTCTGTGCTGTTGGGAGACACTCCTGAGCTAGATGCTTCCACAGACTGTCAGATCCTCAGGGAAATGTGGATATAATCTGCTTCCTGAGATGTTAAGCTCCTTAAAACTCACAATTATCATGTTAGGGATGAAATCAATGTAGAATTTTTAGACACGACCCCATACGGTATCACTGATACAAAATATACACTACTGTTGAAAACTTTGGAAATAAATGAATATTTTTATTCAGCAAGGAGGCATTCAATTGATCAAAAGTGATTTCTTGATTCACAGTTGATGGAAATGTATAATTCACAGTTGAAAGGCATGTATCTTTTTACAAAAGATTACTATTTCAGATCAATGCTGTTCCTTTGAATGTTATATTCATACTGAAAAAAAAAATGTTAAGCAGCACAATTGTTTTCAACACTAATAATAATAATAATAATAAATATTTATTGAGCAGCAAATCAGCATATTAGAATGATTTCTGAGGGATCATGTGACAGTGAAGACTGGAGTAATGATGCTGAAAATTCAGCTTCGCATCACAGGAATAAATTACATTTAAAAATCAATTTTGAAATTGAAGTAATATTTCACAGTATTACTGTTTTCCTGTATTTTTGATCAAATAAATGCAGCCTTGGTGAGCATAAGAAACTTATAGATTATGTATCATATGGTGTGTTCAAGTCATGTCGGATAGATCGTATTTACGAGTTGAACGCACATGAACGCCACCACAAAGTCGTTATTACGAGTGGGAAACTCGAAATTTTCTTTAAGCCCCGAGTTTCCGAGTTGGAGGCGTGTCAATGAGAAACATGGCGGAATCCATGGATGCAACGTCTGTAGTTGACGGTAAATTTTTGTTTAAATTGATAGTTTAGTTGTCCTATAAACTTAAATTGGTCATGTTCTTGTTACGCAGCTAGTTAATGAAATCCAAGTAAAAAAATGCTATAATTTTTGCACCTATAGGTGAAAAATCTTTTGATTTGCCATGTTGCATGTTTTAAAAATATTAAAAACGCAAAACACACCTGATGCGAATTCTTTGCTCTTCATTTTCTATAAGCAGAGTTAACAGACCCTGTTGTATTTTCTTGTAATTTATTAAAAGGTACACCACCATCTTGTGCCAACTAAACTGACTTGAACGCACCTGATGTCGTAATTACGACTTGTCAACTCGTAAGTACGAACGTCCCAGGAGGACTTGAACGCAGCAATAGACTCCACACTTTTGAGTGGGATTATATAAATATGAGATTCTGTGTAATATTCAGATGAAGTATTTTGATAAATATTTACTAGCATGGCAATGGGGTTCTAAAGTCTTAAGAACGCTGGTGAAAACAATATTCTGATATAAATTTTTTTTTAAATTACAGTTGGAGTGAAAAGTTCAATTTAAAAAAATGAACATTCCGCCAATTGACAGTGAAATTATGTTTTATATGGTTTGTTCAGGTTTTCAAACTTTAATACCACATTGTATATGCTTCCTAAATGGATGTTGTCATCCTACTAACAGACACAAATGCTGTGTTACAGACATAAGCAAGCCTTCAGCACACACACACACACACACACACACACACACAGAGATGGCACAGCTCCCACTTCCTCACACTGCAGTGTGAGACCTCAACTGTTGCTCTGTGAGCTCTTGCATATGATAAGAACTGACATACAACAATCTCCATCTCTCAAACACACAAATTATCTATTTATAGATCTACAGTGTGTTAGTACATAAGCAGATCTTCTCTGCTCAACCTCACTTCACCATATTAGGGAACACAGCCTTAGAATCATCTGTCTGCTTTAACGCCATGACAGCGGTGAAGGGAATGAGAGGAAGTTGTAAAGACGCCCCATCCCCTAGTAGCCATATCACCTGTGATGTCATAGGGGAGAAATGTCTGTGCAGGGAATCACTGAGTCATTTGAGATCACGGCTGGCTGGCCATGTAACTAACCACAGGCCACTCCAGGCTAATTCTGTTTGTGTGATGTAAACATTGGTTGCCATCTTGCCTGGTCACTCTTAAATGGAGTAACTTAATATCTTGCAAAGTGCCAGACAAGCTACATGGGATTTTTGAATAGAGAAACATCACCTTGAATTACTTTCAAGTGTAGGATGGCAAATGACAGTACTATAACATACTGATATTGATGCAATTTAATGATTTTAAATGAGACATATGCACAACTGAGGAAATTAAATGAGGGTTTGTTTTACACTGTTTATTCAGAATTTAATCCAAAAATGTGTATTAAACGTTGACTCAGTTCTGTTTATTTTCTAAGGCAATGCCAGTAATTGCAAAACGAAGAATTGAAGATTCAGTAAGATTTTTTAATGTTTTTGAAAGAAGTCTCTTATGCTCACCAAGGCTGAATTTATTTGATCAAAAGTACAGTAAAAACAGTAATAGTGTGAAATATTATTAGAATTTAAAATAAGTGTTTTCCACTGTAATATATTTTAAAATGTAATTTATCCCTGTGCTGCAAAGCTGAATTTTCAGCGTTATTACTCCAGTCTTCAGTATTACATGATCCTTCAGAAATCATTCTAATATGCTGATTTGCTGCTCAAGAAAAATGTATTATCAATGTTGAAAACAGTCCTGCTGCTTAATATTTTTGTGGAAACCGTAATACATTGTTTTCAGGATTCTTTGATGAATGGGAAGTTCAAAAGAACAGCTTTTTTTGGTCACTTTTGGTCAATTTAATGCATTCTTGCTAAAGAAATGTAATATAATTGACCCTTGTGTATACTTTTTTTTTTTAACTATAGATAAACCAAAGCTGGCTCGTAATGCCATGTTACATCTATAAGCTCATGGTAACTGGCTGCTAGTCATTTCTCTTGACTTTGATCTGTTTCTAACAGCAACATGGCCAATGCCCTGGCAAACGCCGCGTGCGAACGGTGTAAAAGCGGATTTGCCCCAGCGGAGAAGATCGTCAACAGCAACGGCGAGCTGTATCACGAACAGTGCTTTGTCTGTGCCCAGTGTTTCCAGCAGTTTCCTGAAGGGCTCTTTTATGAGGTACTTGCATTAAACCTGTCATGTCGCATTTAATCTTGAAGCCTAGTGTTTAAAAGGGTGATACCATAGATTCATTTTCTTTTTGTTTTTCAGTAAATTATAGGAAGACCCTGAGGTCCACTTAGTTAGATTTATTTAGTAATGTACATGAAATATAATAATTAACACAATAATTCTGTTTAAATTATACACAAAACTTTGTGTGTATAAGTGAAAAATTGAAGGGGGTCTGAATACTTTCCGTACCCACTGTACATTCATGACCCTTTTCCACCCTCTCTGACACTTAGAATTAAATTTACAGTACCTGAGCGCTTCAGAGCAAGCTTTTTTTTTAGATAAATGTTTTTTTGGACTGGTTGAAGTGTTGAGTTCTGGAAGTTACAATATGTTTTGTCAGCAGTTGATTGACTTTGAGATGTATTCCCATTGGAGCTGATGTTATGTTTGATTGTCCTCCCTTCTGTCCATAGTTTGAGGGAAGGAAATACTGTGAGCATGATTTCCAGATGTTGTTTGCTCCCTGTTGTCACCAGTGTGGTAAGAGATGCACACGTACAAACATACGAACAGGTGATGTTATTGACTGTGCTAATTGTGAATTGTGTCCCTCATATTCCCACAGGAGAGTTTATAATTGGGCGTGTGATTAAGGCCATGAATAACAGCTGGCACCCTGACTGTTTCTGCTGTGTTATCTGTCAAGCCGTGCTCGCCGATGTTGGATTCGTCAAGAACGCCGGCCGGTGAGTTTACAGCCAATGAGGGGTGACCGTGAACATGTGACTGACAGACTGCATACGATCGGTTGGTCTATGATCAGCTTTTATTGTTCTCATAAGCAATTCTGATTCTTAAATACACTTTTTAAGTCCTAGGCTGCAAACCAGAATCATACATTGAGATGTTCTTTAGCTCAACTGGTTGCATATGGGACCAATTGAATAACTAAATACGAATGAACAGGAAATGCGTCACCATCCAAGTGTTCTGATTGGCTGATATGCACATGTCTGTGTTTTCCAGCCATCTCTGCCGTCCGTGTCATAACCGAGAGAAAGCTCGGGGCCTCGGGAAGTACATCTGTCAGAAGTGTCACGCCATCATCGAGGAACAGCCCCTCATTTTCAAAAATGACCCCTACCATCCCGACCACTTCAACTGCAGTAACTGCGGGTCAGTACAGCACTAAGTGATTTCATCTGCTGTGTCCATTTACTGAAAGTGAAGTGAATTTGAGGTTGTGTGTTTTACAGTAAGGAGCTGACCGCAGACGCTCGTGAGCTAAAAGGGGAACTCTACTGCCTCCCCTGCCATGATAAGATGGGCGTCCCGATCTGCGGAGCCTGCAGGCGTCCTATCGAGGGCCGTGTGGTCAACGCCATGGGCAAACAGTGGCATGTTGAGGTCTGTGTGTTTTGATTTGATTTTTAAAAAATTAGTTCATACAGTGTGCATCATAATATATCTGAATATATATTTAAATAGATCTGGACATAGGATATCGGTTCCGTTTATGAGGCCTTGCAGTCCAATAGACCTGCCATGGTCTATTATGTGGTCTATTATGTATGTAATATTAAAGGGGTCATATGATGCGATTTCAATTTTTCCTTTCTCTTTGGAGTGTTACAAGCTCTTGGTGCATAAAGAAGATCTGTAAAGTTGCAAAGACTAAAGTCTCAAATCCAAAGAGATATTCTTTATAAAAGTTAAAGAGTCAACCACACCTACCTAAAATGGCTCGTTCTAACACGCCCCCACATGTCTACGTCACGATGTGAAAAGATTTGCATAACGCCGCCCAAATGTTCACGCAAAGAAAGAAGGCGTAACTTTTATTCTCACTGTTGCCGCTGCTGCCATGTTGTGGAGTCGCTGTGTGTTTCGTTGTGAAAGCGAAACTACGTTGTTTGGCCTTCCAAAAGAGGACACGACTAGAAATCAGTGGTTAAGTTGTATTTACAACACTGTTCGAGAACAGTTCAACCCAAATATTCAGATGTGTGCTGCGCATTTTATGGAGGATGGATGAGGACTGTTTCCTGAACCAGTAGCCTAATGCGTCTGTGGCACAAAGGCTGTTTCTATAAAGTTGGGCAGTTCCAACTTTGCAAGGACAGTCTGGCTCTTCTGACTCACAGCCTGTAAGTACGTTTTTTATATTTAAATAATTTGCCAATGATGATTCAAACGCGAGTTTTGAGCAGTGTAGAGTAGGCTTGTTGTTTGTGCGATGGAACGCACATGGAATGCAACACGTAAAAAGACAGTATAAGTCATTATAATCAGTAATTATGTCCCCACTGG